CGTGGAGAGCCTGCTTTTGCAAAACACGGTCTACTTTCTGCAAATCGTCAGCGTTTTCGCCTAACTGACTGGAACTCCTATAAAATGGCAAAAAAGTAACGGGAAGCGATCCGTATTTCCCCAGATAACTCTGTAGAATTTTCAGGTGTTGCACACGAAATTGAAAAATTATCACGAATGAAACTGGAATCGCCGGTCTCACTTCCGCCTGTGCAGTCTTCACCAGCTGTGCTTTCTGCCGAACAGGACGTGGCAGCAAGTTCAAGCCGTACACGTGGCAGTCCAAAAACCCGCACTACATCCGAACAAGGTGCTGCAGCGACAGCTGCAGCTCCATCTATCAGTAAATTTTTTTTACTTTTGTATCTCACGACTCTCATTAAGTCTTCCACGAAATCTCGCGAATACGGCTAAGAATTATTCCGAAGTACGATAGAATGTTCATAGTTCGAGATCAGTTCTTATGATCGAGATCGGTTCTCATCGTAATCGATCAGTCATTTATCGCGCCTTTTGCCGAAATTGTCTCATTTGAGCTCAGTTTAGTCGCAGCTTCAGTTGTGTGCACCCTCATGTCTTCAAGATAAATTTTTGGAAGAAATCGAATTTGAGCGAAGAATCCACCGAAAAGAGATGAAAAAAAAGCATTTTTTCCAGTTGAGGCGTCAGTTTTTGAAAATAAGCATCAGATTTTTGCTCCCTTTCTTCCCTCAGTGTCGTCTGAAAAAAAAGAGAAAACATGGAGAAATTTTTCAGCAAAGCAGAGTGCAGTAATAGCTGCGAGGAGTCGTAACAATACACAAGCAGCTCCTGCTGGTTCGTCTTCGTCATCTTCATCGTCGTCCGAAGCTGGGCCCAGCTCAAGCAGCGCTACCAGAGTAATTGTTTCACCAAGTGGAGGTCGCCATCGTCGTAAGGCATCACCAGAGAGGTTGGTGTTTTTCCCCTTTTTCCAGTTTTATTTAGTGCCGCGAGTACTTCTGATGCATGGAATTCTCGGAACTTTTGTAGGTGGGGAGTTGCTGTAGGAAATGTGAGTATCAGTGTTATGTGCTGCCTTGGGAGTAGAGTGGAAAGCCGAACCTGCTTTTTGCTCTTTTTTTAAGATAGCGACATTCGGAGCGAGCCTGAATAGTAGCAGCGAATGCTGCAGAGGAATAAAGCTGGCTGATATATATAAAAAGCGAAAAATTGAGAAGGCTCGCGGCAATCTGTAAAGTATTACGTCTGATTAATGATACACCGTAATTTTAAGGAGTAAAATTTTGTACCCACCCCCTGCTACTAGAAAGGGAATCCGTTACCTGTGCGGTCATTGAAGGGACAGTATTTAGTAAAGGTGATAGGCAGCAACTGGAGACTGATGATTAGAGTCGGCATTGCTTTGTTAATTGGCTGTTATATAAAAAACAGTAAACTGAGAATGCTAGAGGCAATTAATCTGTAAAGCATTACGTCGGTGATATCAGAGAGCGTGGGAAAATGCGTGTGCAGGGTACCATTATCCTAAAATTTCAGCTTCCTCTAGCACTTCTGGCTCCCAAGATAATGATTTTTCTTGCCAAAATTTCGACGGGGACGTTGGAAATTTGCGGAGTTGCACACAAGCAGGTGATGCCACCCAAGCAAAGAAACTGCGTCCGTAATATTACTAACATTAGGGGCGCTGTTTCGTTGCTTGACTTTTGGATACGTTGGAGGGCAAGCCAACTCAGTAGCGCCGATTTCTACGTCAAATTAGATGTGAAATAAGTTACAGTGCATGCTGGAGGCTTTTATGTGCGAGCGTTCTTTTGCGAAAGTTTGGGGCGCCAAAAACTCTCTAGTTGCTAGCAGTACAGGAGAGCCATGAATGCAAAAAATGAATAGCAGCGTGCACCAGAATAGCCGGTGCGATCATGCGTTTTGAGCAATTTCGTCCACCGAGCAATTGCCTGCTAATGATTTTCACTGCTTCATACTTTAGTTTGTGCAAAAATAGTTAAAAACAATGAAAAAATAGGTACAGATTTCACGGACCGGCAAGTGAAAGTCGAATTTGAAACCTCGAAGGGTGAATACCCTTCCAAATTTCAAACTCTTAATTTTTTGGCTTTCGAATGATTTCTAAGGCAAAACTTTTACATGGTCGTAGGTGAGACCTCGGGATACTTAGGAATTGAATTCAATTTTGTCAAGCCCCTGCTTAGGCAGGAAACATTCTCCTGAAATTTTCAGTCCTCTAGCATTATTGGCTCTTATGATAATGATTTTTTTTTGCAAAAATTTCCACGGGGACGTTGAAAATTTGCGGAGTTGCACGTGGGCAGGGGATAC